AATCAGAAAGTGGCCAACACCCTGCAAATAATCAGACTTTTTGGATTCTATTTTTATCATAACAGTTTTGTTATTGTTGACAATATATATATATATATATAAATATATCAATATAAATATAAATATAAAAGCTTGAAAGAACAGAAACACGCATCTCTTACCTGGAGCTCCGCAGTCGGCGCAGTGACTGTTGACCGGCCGCTTCAACAGCTCCAGCAACGCCTTCTTGTTTCGGTCATGGTTTGACATGTCGGCACGAAGTCAAACGAGGGTCTCTTCTTAAACGATGATGAATCCGCGCAGTCTAATCTAAACATGGTGGTCACATAGTTTCACACGTGGCGAAATGCAACAGACAGAAGAAAATGGCCAAATGAAAACTGGAACTTGCGACAGATTTCTTTGTGGGATGTCACAACACAACGCAGGCGTCCAGCTGCGCGGTGTGAACGACAGTAGACGGAAACAATGTGGGGTTTTTTGTCACTGGGGGCTGTCCTTTGTGACATCTCCCTCTGAGCGGGGCCCTCACAAATACAAACGCTGAGGCATCAAACTGAGCCGAAACCGGTCTACCAGCTGAGCACATAGTGCGCTCAGAGCAGACAGACTTCATTTCAGGTTCAGCAGTCCTCCAACAAACCATCCACCCTGTAATCACTGAGATCAGCTCAGGAATCACTATACAAAGTATTCAAACGCATACACGGTGAGACCATCTCTTTATTTAGTTGTTATAAACCTTTATTTGGTCACAACAGATACCCACTGGGAATAATGTGTACATATTCAAGACCGAAAAAAGATCAATTGAAAAACAAAAAAACAAATGTGAAGGTGATTTAGGGTTGACACGCTTTTAAAAAGATCCTGAGTGCACCAACAGTACTTTGTGTGGAGAATGACGCTGTACACACAGCCTTTACAAATGATATTTTACATGTTAATCTCTTACATTAGTGATACACACTTGCTCCTCAAAATACATTTCTACAAGATAAAAAACACTTTGCAAAATGGAAAGCGGTGTCAACATATAAAACACTACTGTACAAAAAAAAAAAAAAAAAACCTCTTTAAACACAGCTTAATATTACAAAAATCATATAAAGTAGAAATCTTCAGTGCATTCGTTGAAAGCATCATAAGATGCGCTGAAAGCATTTGAGGTTGTTCAGCTGTGAGTTTCTCCAGGTGAGAATAACTTTAATATTCATTTCATCTCAAAAGAAATACGGGGAACCAGGAAGTCCTCTTTGCACACGCAGCTGTGACCAGCTCATCTCATGTCGAGGCCACGATCATAAAAGAGACAAAAGGTAACAGTGACGTATATTGCTGCCGGACTTTATCCATCCTCGTGTCACAACACCAACTGTAAAAGTGTTTTTTTTCTTCCACACCGACAGCCGAAATGCACGGACCCTATAAAGTGTGGCCCCTGTGATGAGGAGGAGACTCTGTGGTTCAGGGGAAGTCTTCAGCAAGCTGCTGTTGAGTGCTTTTTTCAACACCCAGGTGGATCGCATCGAGGTAGTGCAGGAACCTGGAGGAGGAAAAACAAACAGCTCAGTTTTCTGTGGACCCATTTCATCAGACGTTGCATTTGTATGTTTGAGTTGCACGCTCTGCACGTTTATTCTTAGCCAGACGCTTGGTGTCAAAACAAAGACATCATTATACGAGTCAGCTACTGGCTGTCTGTGATGAGAGGGTATGTAACCACATCCTGCCCACACTTCAAACAAAGACATAAAGGCGCAGGCCAAGTGACAAACTATAGTTGCCGCGTGCTCACCTCCGTTTAACTTTGCCCTGCTCCTTAAGCCGCTCTGATCTGCAGATGGTGCGAAGGGCTGGCAGGTAGTCCAGAGCAGCTGCTGGTCTGTTGGCCGGAGTGCCAAACACTCCTCTGAACATCAGCCTCTCCATCACTTCTCTCCTCCGCTGGACCAGCCTGGAACGCATCGACACGCATTACCTTTCTTTGCACTGGTTTAACTGGTCAGGGTTAGAACGGGGCCACAGTGCATTAGGTCCACATTGTACAGAGGATGATAATGCATAAAGAGAGACTAGTGAGACTCACTGTGGTTGACAGGGACCGTCCTGAGTGAAGCTGTAACCTTCCCGATGGGCGGCCACAGGGAGGGTGAGTTCTGCTACAGCCTCCCGCCCCACCTCCCCTTCTAGTTGCTGGACTTTGTTCCAGGCCTCCGCTACCGAAACCCGACACTTGTAGAAGCTCAGAGCCTCCACAGCAGCTGGGATCTCCAGGACGTGCTCCCCTCTTTCCCAGCTCCCCCCGTCGGTCTCAACCCTCGACTCGTCCGTCATCCCGTCTTTCACCACGGCACTGGCCGGTGACATCCCTCTGGGATTATCGCCCCCTTCCGGACGAACCCTCAAAGAGGAGTCCATGTACGACATGTCGTCTAAAAAGTCAGCTATTGATTCGAGACACTGGGAGACCGGGAGACTTCTCACCCGCTCCTCGGGAGTCAGCGGCTTCCTCTTCACCGTCTCCGAAACTAAACACTCTTTGATGCCTCTCTTTGCCTGAGGAGTGCCCTGCGGCTTGCAGAGAGACAGAAAACCGTCTTCTGAGTCCGAGTCCGAGTGCAGTCCGTCCTGGTCAGGTAAACTGTGCCACTTCTTGCTCTTCCTCATCCTGCTGGACATTTTGATCGGACTGCCGTCGTCCGAGCAATCCGCCGATTCCGCCGTGTGCGGTGACCTGGCCTGTGATGGCGGCTCTTCTGGATTAACAGAAGGACGGTGTTGTAATGCACAAACAGACTGCTCTGGTTTGAAGGTAGAGGTAATCAGCTGTGTGAGTGGCAGAGGTAAGAGCGTCTCGAAGTTGGAATAGAGCAGGTCCACTCCTCGTCGCTTGCTGTTTGCCAGTAGCTCCCAGCACAACATCTCCTCCGTCGGACTCTGTTGACAACACACACACGGTCAATCGAGTACAACAGGAACCAAAGAAAAGCTCACTTTACACATGTTACTCTCAGCGGTGTAACGTGGTGAATGAAGAGTTTACCCTGAGCCGCTCCCAAATGTCTCCCTCAGGTTCAACATTCAGCAGACCCAGCATGCTCTCAGTGCAGCCGGTGTCACAGAGAGGAAGAGCGTCGGTCACTGAACACACAGACGGATTAAAGATGGGATTAAAAGGTAGTTTATTTGTAAAGCAAAACCAAGTGATCAACATTACTATTCCAACAGTTTCATAGGCTTCCACCAGCTCATCTTCTCACCCTGTGTGCCGGTGTGCGTCAATGGTCTGGCGACGCGGCGGCCTCCTGCGCTCCGGGTCCAGAACTGCAGCTGCAGTAAACTCTGCCGGATGTCACATCCGTTGAGTCTGAGCAGAGAGCTGATGTCCAACAGGTCTGTCCTTGTGTCCTCCGCCAGACACAACAGACGCAGGAAGCTGCCAACATCCAACTGTGCCGGAGAAGGACAACTTATAACCGACTGAAATTTACTTTTGCTCACCGATCTCTCCCGCTCGATTAGCATTGAAACATTAGTGTTGAACACTCGTCCACTCACCACTGAGGGCGTTTTGAAAAGGATCTCTTCAAAGTTGCCATCAAACACGGTGCTGAAAGCAGGATCTAAAAGACCAGACAGAAAGTGTGACTAAATCCAATCAACACAGACTGAGATATTTAGCTTTCTCAGTCTACTCACCGCTGGTAGTGAGGATGACCGGCCTCTTTGTCGTGGTCATAAACGTCTTGATGGCAGCTAGAAACCCCCAGTCGTCATCAAAAATAACATCCACTTCTTCAAACAGGATGAGTGAGGTGGCCGTCTTCTTGCTCTGTTCCTCGTTGTTCTTCTCTTTCGGGGTGGGAGCTGGTTTGGGCTCTTTGTGCTTATTGACACACTCGCTTGCTTTTAGGACTTTCTTGGAAGCAGCTATGTGAAGAGATGCGGGGAGAGAGAGAGAGAGAGAGAGAGAGAGAAAGACATTTTATTTTAAAGGTCCTGGTAGAAACTTTTCATGAAGGTTAGCCTGTAAACAAGTGACACATTAGAAGATGAGATGAACCTGTCTGTTCGTTCTTCTTAGTGTTAGGCGTCTCCTTGGTGGTGGGTTGACCCGTTTTGAAGAAGTTAGCTAACGAGGTGGGAGCCAGGCCTCCTCTTTTAGCCCCTCTTGGGGACTGAGGCTGTTTCCTGGGAGAAACCGCCCTACGAGGAGAGTTCACTTTTCCTGGAAGATGAAGAATGCGACCCGGAATGAATTTCCAACAGTTCTCACCACACACACACACAACATATGCAGGAAACAGATCCTCGTTAGAAACAGGTTATCAACGTTAGCCCGGTACATACTGGGCGAGGAGCCGAGCTTGAGAGGGCCGGCGCTGCTGCTTGTGCCGTAGCTGTTGAAGTAGGCGGGCTTGTGGGCGTTGACCCCCTGACTGTCCACCTGGTGAGACTGAGTGGCTTCCTTCAGCTGGGACAGAATCAGACGGCCACTCCGCTGAGAGGAAGCATTCACCTCGAACACCTTGAGGGACCAGAGAGCAGTTAGGAAATGAAGACGCTAATTCCTACACAAATGTCACCGCTTGTGGACCGTGATGCTTTCGTACCTTGAAGCCCAGCTCCTGGGCACAAGCATAGACTGCAGCAGTCTTTCCTATTCCAGTAGGTCCTGTGATGAGCATCGTGTTACACAACGTGTCCTCTCCATCCTGGAAGTCCTCTTCTCCACAGTCCCAGTCCGAGTCTGGACACAAAGAGCCATCATTCAGTCAACACAAACGCACTACAAGCCAACAGAAGTAGCTATAAAGAGAGAGAGAAAAAAAAGAAAAGGAGAATCATTTCTCTAATCATTTCACCATTGTCGCCTTCCTCTTGTTTCTTGTCTTTCTGCTTTTTTCTCTCTTCTCGGTCTGCACGCAGTTTCCATTCCTTTAGCCAGCTGAATGAAAAGGAGGAAGATGAAACATTCGCCGAAATGTTCCTCATACGATGGCCCCGAGCCCACGTTGTGCTTGTATTTACGTAACGGGATGATACTATGCAGCTCCTGTCTTTACACAGGTGCAGTGAAATCAAAGCTGTGTTAGTTCCTCACCTGTGCAGCCTCCTCACTGAGCCAGTGTTACCTATGACGTCGCTGGAGTGCTGGGGCTGGTATTTGTCCGTCCATAACACGTCCTCTCTCAACACATCTGTGGAGACAAACATTTTCTACATTACTTCTGACAGTCACTTACTGGATCTATTCACCAAGCATGTAAACAAAGAGGACACAGGTTATCTTACTGGCATACCTTTGAGGATCTTCTATAAATAGCTGTCATGCCAGTTGGAAGTATTTTCCTTGTGCAGAAGCTTTTTAAGATAATTACACATTGTTGTGGTGGAGTCAATGCCAGCGGCTCTATTTTTTAGCCAGTCAACTGTGGCTTTGATAACGACACATTCGCAACAAAAGCTAATTCTGGAGGGCAAGTTTAAAAAAAACAGCTGGTCCAATGCCGTGAGTCTGTTCCAACACATTTAAATGTATTTGCAGTCTTTGATTGCAAGCTTGCATTGACTTATGGTTTGTTGGACATAAGCAGGAGCTTCCTTTATGTCGTTTAAGTTGAATCCCATTGGCTGATTTGCCGTATTGTTTATTGATCCCAAAGTTGGTAGAGAGAATGTGAACCCTCACCTTTTCTTCCAGTCCTCTCTCCCGACGGCGAGTCCTCAATCACAACCACAGAGTCGTCATCAGACGGGACGGGAGCAGTTTTCTCATTCGCCCCCCCCTCCGGCCTCGGTCTCCTGGCTCGTCTCCTACGCCCCCCCCTTTTTGTTGGCTCCGGCTCAGGTTTTTCTTCTTCTTCTGCACAGTTGGCCCGTTGCTTCTTGGCCACCTTCACAGACACTCCCCCCTCGTCCTCCATCCTCTTCCTCTTCCCTCCCACCGGTGTGGTGCTTGTGACTCCGGTTACAGCCTCTGGTTCTGGAAAGTAACATGCAATGGATGTAGAGAATAATCTTTTAATTTAGGCTCTAATTCTCTCCCTATTGTGACTGATTAATACTGCAAATATCTGTGCTTTGAGAGGATAGATTAGGATCAACACCAACTAATAAAAACTGTTCGTGCGACTGGACGTTATGCGATGCAACATACATCTACCGTTGTTTCAGTCAGACTGACCTGAGCTCTGCTGCTGGTGGTCAGCGCGTCTCTTGAGGAAGCGGGTGGTGAACATGTGAGCGGGGAACAGAGGGTTAGAGGTGCCGACCTCCTCCAATAGGAGCTGCCGAACACTTTCAGAGATCTCAGGCCTCCAGCCAGAACCCTTCAAAAAGGAAAAATCAAATATTGTGTTTGCCGTTTAACCCTACGACACTACAAACGACATGATGCACAAAAATATAAACTAAGAGAGAACTAAGCATTCAAGTACGTGTACCTATAAAGCACACAATCAGATACTGATCCTGTGACTAAATCATTACTGTCATTTCGACGTACCCGCTCACAAAAGGATCTGCGTTGTGGTTTTGTCCTCACACAAAGGGAACCGCTGACAGACGGAGGTGAGTTGGATGTTTGGCACCAAAGCTCTTTCAGATGACGCAGTAGCGAAGACTCCGGCCACAGTAGACTCCAAAGAGGACAATCTGTCATCAACAACAACAACAACAACAACAACAACAACAACAAGTTATGCTGAGCTACCAGTCCTCCGTAATAACACATACATTAAGTCATATATTTAAGTTAAAGTAGCAATATCACAATGTAGAAAGTTCAAGTGCTGCATTCAAAATAATTAGCTAAATGTAATAAATGTAGTGAAGTAAAAATGTAAATGTTTTCCTCTGAATTGTGTAGGAATAAAAGCATTAACTTGTCAGCTGAAGATCAACATATATGTACTGTGTGTGTGTGTGTGTGTGTGTGTGTGTGTGTGTGTGTGTGTGTGTGTGTGTGTGTGTATGTATGTAT